AAAAAATGGAAAAAAAAAGACAACGGGGAGGAGCTATGGGAGGAAAATTTAATAAAATTAATTTCCATTATAATTTATTTGAAATTTGGTGCCAGTATTTCTATATATGAGATAAGTCGTTGCGCACTCACAAGAAGTGTATGAGGACTACGATTAAGGTTTCTCATAAAACTCTCTCTCTCTCTCTCTCTCTCAATAGAACTTTCATCTTCAATGTGAGCAGTTAAGTACTGAGTGTGGACTGGAAGCCTTCAGTGACCGAACAGGGTCAAGGAAATCGTGGACTCTCCTTCAACTCCACAGTTCGGGAGATTTTTCATATCCACAAACCTTCTGAATTTGCTGATTAATACGAAACGTGTGTTGCTGCGCCGCTGCAGCCGTAGGGGGTAACAGTGCGGTTAGATTCGGCTGACCCTTGTATGCGTATTTTCTGCAGGTCTGATAACGATGTCGGTTTAAATATCTCTCATTAGCAGGCACGTTGTATGCAGAGAACGGCGTTCTCCAGCTTCAGAAATCATTTCGTGGCCCCAACAATTTTAATCATTTTCGCTTACCTTTTTGAAAAAAAACATGATGTCGTATCATGAAACATTATGTCATTGCTAGAATGCTTTATCGCAAGACGATTCTGTTCATTTTTTGGTGCTTTTACAGCTTTCGGTGTAGCCATAAAAAAGACGGCCTCCTTCCTATAACTACGATGCGGGGCCTAAACGCTTTCTGACGCATTCAACGTGAGATTACAGCTAAAGTATGGGAGATACAAAAAAATGTAAATACTCTTTTTTATAGGGAATTTAGTAAACTATATTTTTCATGTAAACTATTTCTTCGTATCAGTAATAGTTGCCGAGACATGGGCAAAAAAGTGGAAAAGTGTACCGTTTTTCCAAGATGGCGTCTCGAGCGCAACAGATTTTGACAGGGACTTTTAGTATGTTCAATAGAAAGTCCCAATAAATGTGTATACCAAAATTCAGATCTTTACCGATTAATGTTTTTATTTGTCCAAAATTGCGCTAATTTGACTGGACTATGCGGCTTATGCGATTTTTTATACATGAGTTGAATTGTCAACGGAAATCGTTTTATTCACAAAGACGATGATTTTTATAAGCAAACGTCAAGTGACATTTCCATGGCAATCGTGAAATTACGAACACCCAGCCTACTTAATTAGACATGTATTCGAGTATAACGTCTATATGATTTCATTGTATTCCCTATTTTTAAATTATACTACAGGTATAATAAAAAATACTATAAGATACACGTGTATAATTGGTCTTTAAAGCACTTGCAACGTTAAAGGCACTCCGCTTCGCGTCGTGCCCTTAACCTCGTTGCGCGTGCTTTAAAGACTTGGTTATACACTTGTATCTTAATATACTATTATTCAACTGCTATTTGCTACCTTTTGACTAGTAAAACGTCCTTGTCCAACTTTGGTGTACGAGTATGTAATCTCATTTTCCACGCCACTTAGTATAAATCAGTGTATAAATTAATACAGATGTTTCTTGTGATATTGCTGTAATATAGTCATCATACAGAATTTGAAATCCAGACAACTCGATTCGTTATTTTCCACACTAGAATTGGTGAAGCAAGAGAGCCAATTTAGGAAAATCTTACATAATTTTATAACCACTATCCCCAAGATAATTGAGTGGTATTCTAACTTGTTTCACACAATTTTCGAATTATTTGCGTTACGTGCAAGGTATTGTAAAAGCTCGTAATAGTTTTTTTATGAAATAAAATTTTATCTAACTTATTGAGATTAATTTTATGATCGTGGAGGTGGAGATCAATGTTAAGGTTGCAATAAAATTATATGGTCATGATACATCTTTATTGCTTGTACACTTAATTTCGGCTGAACATTATGCAAGAATTTTTGTCACATACTAGCGTGTTATGTAACACTATTAATGTAAATTTGTCTGCTTTAAACTAACAAAATTTAAAAAAATTCTCCCCGGCGGGGAATCGAACCCCGGTCTCCCGCGTGACAGGCGGGGATACTGACCACTATACTACCGAGGACTTGTGTTATGGTATGTTCTTACAGATAGATGTGGTTGTACATCATTTCTTTTCTAAATATATAAGAAATTAATATTATAATATAATAACTAATATCTCTACTATATATCTAATACCTTACTTTACCGTTTCCAAATTTGAAATCGATATCTCCAATCCAAGTGTTTCCAATTTAGAAAGAAGGAGGGGGACTATTTACCCCCGCATTGTATTTCCTGACAATTACGTAGGACGACAGAGCGCGTTTGTAATGAAATAATTAGCAAAATTTCATTTAATATGGCAATATTTTGAATATAATTTAAGACTAACTGCAACTACAGAAAACTATCAAAGTAATCCGTTCACTACACTTTGCTCATACATGTATTCCCACAAGAAATAATCAGATGGGGACATTTTGGAGGCCAATTCAAGGAACCGTCATTATTAGGAGTAGTTTGTGTCCCGTAAGTGATTACTGCTTGTAACATCGCGCTTGCGGTGCTATATCCCTAAACAGCAACTCTTGGCTTTGCCTTGCAGTTGCATCATCCGCCCAGACGTCAGACCATCAGAGAACTTCTGAATGAACTTCTTCATTCTTATACTAGGTTTTGATTAGGTCTCAAATTATTGACTTTGTCGGGTGTCTGTAGCACGTTCCATTTAATCGAGCAGCATTTAATTGTTAAAATCATTATCCCTATCCGTATAGGCACTTGATTGGTTTGATAAAATTATAGCAGAGGACGAACCTGAATTCTTAACCATACCTACCTATACATTGTCAGGTGTCGTGTCAGTCAATACATTTTTTCAATTGCAACTTCCGCATTAAATTTTAAGCAAATAAATGGCCGTTGGGTCAATAGTTTCACAAGAGTATTGATTATCTAACAAGAGTAGGTACGCCACTACAATTACATACATATTTCATTTATAAGGTAAAGTTGTGGCAACTACTAGTGCGTAGGCATAATGCTAACAAGTGTGTGCGGGAGGAGGAGGAGGAGTTTGGTGATAGTGGAACGCGTTCAAGGACCATATGCGACACTGCAAAAGGTGCGCGTTCTTGCTTTTACGTACTTTGTGTCACATCGGTTCACCGTTAAAAATGTACTTGAATTTAATTATCCATTGTATATGCACTTTTATAATTTATATGATGTGTTATAATTGTAATTTAATACCTTATTAGTCAGGCGACCTTCACACTGCACAGTAAATTAAAACGCGCGCCTTTTACGCGTAGCGTAGGGATTCTAAAGGAAGAAGCGTCATCTTGTGTTTTGTTTTACTTGGCCTCTGGCCGGCAAGTCAGCGACCTCTGTGAGAACGCGACTTATATGTGTACGCGACGAAGACGCCAACAACCATTTCGTAATCAGATAAACAAAGACCCTAGCCGC